ATTCTGGGAACACAGGACAACTCATGGAATATTAATGAAGTCCTGGAAAGGCCCTAGGCCAAAGTCCACCCCAAAGAAATGTTAATGGAACCTAGGAACAGCCCCCAACAGATTTGGAGATAGCCCATCCCAGAGAAGTGATAAGCCTATCCCAAAAAGTGATAATTAAGTCCTTCCTGCCCGTTTGGCCCACCTGTGTCCTAACCCTTCCCCCTTGCATTCCATCACCAAACCTATAAAAAGGGGAGACAACCACACTTCCACAGATTCCACCTCTTGGGTCCCCTTCTTCCTCCGGGAGAAGTCTTTTCTGCTGTCCTTTAATAAACTTCTAATTTCTACTCTGACCTTGCCTCGGTGTGCTTCTTTGGTGTTATTCTTCAACATTGGGGAAGCAAGGACTCCTCACTGGTCAACAGCTGTATCAGTAGCAGTGCAGGCCGCAGCTGATTGGACAGGAGACCTCCGTTCATCAGTGGCAGTGACCATGGAGGTAGTCTTGGAGGCAGCTGAGGCCATGCCCAGATAAGAGACCACCAGACCTGGCAGCATACTCTGCAGCAGCTATGAGTAGGTTCTAAATTGAGATTTCCTGAAATGGCCTTGCAGATTAACAACCCTATCTGAAATAATTGTGTCCTAAAGGTAGTCTCCCAACTCTCATGCATATGAACTACTTAACATTCCAAACTACAGATTCTCATCCCACAGGCCTTAGGGGCTCTGGAATTCTCCACTTGAAACAGCTCTCAGTGATCCTGAGGGTGCTGTTCAGCCTGAGTACCTTGAATAGGATGGAAAAATAATCCTGTATCCACACTTCTTTTGCTTTTCATTTGGTAGAAATGTTTTCATTGTTTCTGAAAATAACCCTTGTTTATTGCTTGTAATTTCTTATTTTACTGTGGATTCTGTGAGTTAATGAATTTTTCTTAATGATTCCAACTTCCCAATTGCACTTAAAGCCACATAGAAAATACCCGGTGTCCTGTCCTTCCCAAGAGAATTCCAAGATCTGGAAATAATGACTGCCTTTGTGAGGGTGAGACTCAGGCCCAAGGAGTGATCTCAGGATCTGGCAGTTGAAGGATGTGAGGCAGGTGGGAATGCTGGTCACCCTATATTCAGAGGGGGCAATAACCTATAGCCAGACCCCATCCCCGAGCCATTTCCCTAGACTCTTTTAATGTGCAGTTCAAAAACAAGAAGGCCCCTTCCAACAGGGTACACAGGGCTCCTGCTCACAGGTTACACTTTATGACTTTGAGTGCATGTGCTGATTCAAGGGTTTATGGCCTTGATCACACAGTAACCATGACATTCAATCCATGACCTTGGCTTCACAGTAAAAACATAAAACCCATCAGCCCACCCAAAGGCTAATTTTATGGCTCACCAATGATACAAATCTAAAGGTATTGGATTTTAAGAAAATCAAAAATTAATGTACTTATGCCCCATTGAAAAACATATAAAATCATAAGTACATACTAATATTTTGAAAAACAAAGAGATATTCATAAATCACCAATAAAATTATCCACAAATTCTTATTTGTTACAAAGGAGATAATTAACAAGACATTGGAGAACTCTGGTGACACCCTGAGTCCAGGTTCAGAAGGAGCATCACTAAGATGAAGGGCCATGAAACCATGCCCTGCCTGGCAGGAGGCCATGAAAAAGGCAGAGCTTCCCTTCTGCACACTGCTGCCTATTAAGTGCTGAGCTGTGTCCCCTGAACATGCACAGGTTGGGACCGTGGCCCCCAAAACCTCACAATGTGACTGTCTTCACAGACATGGTGTTGGAAGAGGTTATTATGCAAAATTGAGATTGCAAGTTGAGGTCTAATCCAATACGACTGGGGTCCCTTTAGGAAGTGGAAACTAGGACTCATAGACACCAGGGAAACACCATGTGACACAGGAGGATGGCCATCTGAGAGCCAAGAGAGAGCAGAATGACCTGCTGGTGCCTCGATGTCTGAATGAGATCCCACAGTCATGGGAAAGTCCATTTCTGATGTGAAGCTGTCAAGTGGGGTCCCTCTTTGTGGAAGCAGAGTGATCACAATGCTGGTTGCAGGAGCAGAATTCAGTCCTGAGGGACACTGCTTCCTCTGTCAGGATATTCTAAAGGGCCACTGGTGCAGCACCTTCAATAGTGACAGAACCCCGAGATCCAAGGAAGCAGAGGCTGCCATCCCAGGCTGAAGGAGGCTGAGGAGACCTGGCTCCACAGGAGTTGGGGGGAGTGACCCCTGTGCAGAACTCTTAAACTCTGCAGAGCATTCCCAATGACCATGCTGCACCTGTGAGAAGACACAGGGAAGATCAGCTGCAGGAGCTGCTGACCCCACCACAGCAGGCTGAGAGGTGGGCTGTGCTCAGCTCAGGTCCTGGGAGAAGCTGCAGGGCCTCTGCCAAGGGCTCTACTCCACACAAGTGCTTGACAGGATCCCCACCTGTGGTGGATGTGAGGGTCCAGCAGGGGTCATTCTACTTGATGGTTGGATGCTCAGAAGCACCAGGAGCATGTGAGCCCTGGCTAGCTGAGAGCCCTGCTGTGGACACCTGCAGCTACCTCACTGGATGGGCTGGGAGGTGGTTGATTGGGATCTGTGTGTTGGCCATGTGGATGACTGAGAGCCCCCTGCTGAGCAGAGACCAGCTAAATTGCATGCACTTGGAAAGTAAGTGTTTTCAAAAATGGCCATTTTGAAAGCTTCAGTCCTGCTTTTCAAGACAATTTTGTCTCTAGACTTCCAGTTATGTTTCTTTTAGGGTGTGACAAGCTGTCAAAATGAGCCTTTAGTGTCACTGAAGTGCCCCTGCTCTTTGCTCTTTGAGAGGTTGCCCCTGGAGTTCCTCTGGTGTGATCTCTAGTCTCCCAGGGAATCCCTGACTGAGTCATAGTACAGTATGACTGTATGACAAAGGTCAAGGCAGACACACCCCAAATCCAGAACTAATTCAGAAACAAACAAAGTGCCTGGAGGAGCCAAGATGCCTTGCCTCACCTCAGGCCCAGTGCTGTGGAGTGGCCGACCATGGACTGAACCATTGAAACCATGAGCACCAAACAAATGTCCCTCCTCTGAAGTTGTTCTTGTCAGGTGTTTCTGTCATAGTGGTGAAGAGTTATTTACCACCCTGGGCCACCAGCTGTCAATCTGTCATCAGTGTCATTCCTGGAGCACATTTGCCACTAATACTTTTTACTCCTGATTTCCTGTACAGTTGCTCAATAAGGGGCAAAAATGGAGAATCCTGTGCCAGCCCCAGCAGCTGTGCTAAGACCTGCGCCCACAGGGGAGGACAGAGGAGTCCCTGGGAGAAGTGAGCACTGAGGGCATCTCTACCCTCACCCTGGTGTCCCAGAGATTCAAGGACCTCATGGGTAGAGGTGACTGAGCTGCTCACCACAGGGGAGTGTGGGACTCAGCACAGGGCAGTACCAGCTGGGCCCAGCTCTACTTTACATTAAGATAGAAGTGGTACAATGAGATTGGACTTGAGGAGATGCAGAGGCTCCACATAACACACAAACAGTGTTCTAGGGTCCCAAGAGCCTTCCCTTTCCTTATGGCATCACTTGACCCCTGTGACCTCATTCATTTTACACATATGTCAATGCCAGAGGGAAAGAAGCTAGACTATCCTCAAATGGTACAAAGAAGGGGCACTACCTTCCCATTGCAGCCATGGTAACAGGGACAATGACATATTACTTGAGGATAGCAGATGTCTGAGCAGAGCATATGGTCATAACCTTAATGGGGACAGAGGAATGACTTGAGTCCAAGATGTAAGCATAGTTTTCTGATATCTGTGCAAGGCTGGCAAACATGGACCCTGTTAAGAGCAACTACACTCCTGAGCTCCAGAGGCTGCAACTTGTAGTGACCCCATCTGCCCATAGAAGCCATGAAACTCCAGATACAAAATGACTGCAGTGACAGTCTCCTGCTGCTAACTAGATGGCTCAGAGACGTTCACCAGGGAGTGTATCAGGACCCAGGAAACATGATGGACACGTGTCAAAAGCAGATGATAACTTGCCACCAGAGGAGGTAAGGTAAGATTGGGAGCCCTCAGAGGATGAGTAGATAGAACTATTGTGGGTCCTGCCCAGGCAAAGACACCACAGAGAGGAGGTGCTGGCATCTGCTATGGGATGTCTGGGGAGGAGGAGGGTTCAAGGATAAACCTGCACAGTGAGCTGATATTGCTGTTGCTGTTGGTACCAGGGATTGGTCCCAGGGGCACTTAACCACTGATCCACACCTCAGCATATTTTCTATTTTATTTGCTGTGTGTGGGAATCACAACAGTTATGTGCACATTGTTGTTTGTGCTATAGTTTGTGTGTGAGTGTTCCCAGGGAGCTCATGGGCCTGTGCAGGAATCTACAGGTTCCTCCTTCACTCAGAGGAGCTGTGGCTTCTGGGGAGCAGGGGCCCTTCTCATGCACAGATCCCAGGCTTTGAAAACTGTGACTTAGCCTGTGCTTTCATGGATTTCAATAAACTGCTGCTTGAAATGGTTAGAGTGTCTTGTATTTTGTGACAGAAATCCAAAGTGACACAGAGAGCTGGACTCCCCCCCTAAAGTGACAAAGTCACTCACCTGGAGCAAATGGTCATGTCTCACCTGTTGGGGCTGAGAAGGAAAGAGGGTGGGTAGCAGAGGAGCCTCCCTGACCTTTCCTACCAAAGTCTACTAGAGACCTCCAGAGCCTGGTGCCCCCTGTGCAGTGCTTTCAGCAGGGGGAGGCAGCAGGAGGAGCAGCTGGGGCAGCCCAGCCTCACACTTCTGCTCCCTGGGAGGTTTTTGTCATGGCCTTTATCACTGTGGGCGACCCACTGTTATGCTGTAGACAGTAATAAGTGGCAACATCTTCAGGCTCCAGGCTGCTGATGGTGAGAGTGAAATCTGTCCCAGATCCACTGCCACTGAACCTCGAGGGGACCCCAGATTGCAAACTGGATGCCTTATATATCAGGAGCTTAGGAGCTTGCCCTGGCTTCTGTTGATACCAAGCTAACCAACTGTTAATATTCTGACTGGCCCTGCAGGTGATGGTGACTCTGTCTCCTGGAGATGCAGATAGGGAGGATGGAGACTGGGTCATCGTGATGTCACATCTGGCACCTGACATTGGAAACATAACCATAAATATCCCTATAATTATTCATGTTTCAGGAGGACTTCCCTGAAGAGCCAGGCAGCACTGACCACACTATGCTGAGCACATCCCCAGAGTTGTCCATTCTTACCTGGGAGGCAGAGCAGCAGGAGCCCCAGGAGCTGAACAGGAGCCCTCATGTCCATGCTGTGTCCTGTTGGGGACTGACTTCTGCACAGGGTGTGAGCAGCCTCTTAAGAAGTCCTCAGGGCAGTGGGCTGTGCTGTGGGCACATGCAAATCAGCAGGGCTGGGCAGGGCTAGGCAGGGCTGAGCACAGCTGCAGGGCTGGCTTTTCTCAGTCACTCATCACTGGCCAAGTGTCCCCAGGGATCTCAGCTCAGACCAGCACAGTACAAATAGGTATGAAGAGAGCTTGTTTCTCCCTGGGGTCATTTTGTAACAAAAGATATTTCAGAGACTATTTTCTAAATGAGAAATGCACAGACAGGACTCTATAAATTAAGCATTTCATGGTGGTTTTTAAATAGTGATGCAGAATTTACTTTTTTTGTAGAGAACATACAGTGCAGTCTTGACAGAGGGCTGGTGGGGCTTTAACTTACTCCAAAATGACCCTGAGTGGTAAGATCTCTCTGTTGTCTGTGCATATCTTTGATTTTAAAGTGTTTTTTTTTCTCTTTAAATAAGAAAGGTAATTTTTCAGAAACATGTTCAGAGTATCGAAAACTATTTCAAATAGCTGTCAGTCATTGTGATTACCAGTGGAAAGTTTAGCAGATGCCAAAAATGATCTTGGTATATCACTCGCAGTCCCTGTCACCTGTAGCTGCAGGTTCTTTGGAGCTCAGAGGCTGAATGGCTGCAGCTCATCCTTGACTTGGGCTCTCCCCTATTCTGCCCCTCTTTGCCATTTGTCACTGTTCCCCAGAGGTCACCAGCATGAAGGGCTGGTTATTGAGGAGAAGCCTGCTGACTAACTGACAGCCACTGCAACCCAGTGCATTTCCCTGATATGCACCATGAATGCCCCCTTCTGCTCTTCCCTGCAGCAGTGAGTGGGCAGCTCATGCTGACCCAGGCTCCACCTCCTGCAGGCCTTTCCAGGAGAGTCTCAGCCTCCTCTGCAGCCAGCACAGATGCACATGGAGGAGAAATTGGACCCAGGTTAACTTGGGCACAGATTCAAACAGCTTCTGTGTCACCTCTGTGCCTTTGCTTTAGACGTTTATCCCAGCTGAGCAGCAGGGGAAGTGGAGCCAGCTGTGCTTTCAGCATCCACAACCTGGCAACTGGGGACCAGGATTCTCTCTGCTGAATACAGGCTGAGAGGTCTGGCTGCAGTACCACGGGCTGAGCATGCACCTGCTGTCTTTCCAGGGGCCTGAACTACAGGGAGCCTTGCTAGAAAGCAGCCCAGACAGAGCCAATTCCAACAAGCTCTGTTCAAGTTTGAAAGTCTTTCAACTATTTTCTGGCATTATCAGCAGTCCCTGCTGGGGCTCTCCGGCCACCCCTCACCCACTACACACACACTGTACCTGCACATGTGCTGCTCCCCCAGGCACACCTGCACTCACTCCACTCTCTGAGGCTGGGAAACAGCTCCACTGCACAGGAGGCAGACAGAGGGCATGAGCTGACCATTCCCAGGACAGTCCCAGTGGGCAATGAAGGAGAGGAACACTCCCCAGTCCCTCAGCTGAGCTGGAGTCACCAGGGGCATTTTATTTGTTTCCACGTAGGCTTGAGCTGCCACCATCCTCAGCAGTGTGGCTTGTGAAGGAGTTACTGCATGGACTTCCTGTCCTGGGACACAACCTAGGAGAGAAACAGATCCTATTCCGGCAGGACATCCCTGGTCCAAGATCTCACCACACCTCCTTTAGGAATAAACAGGAATATTAAGAAAATTCCAGAAACATTTATTTTCCTTTACCAATGTCTCCACCCTGGAACCCCGGGGCCCCCCTGCATCACACATGATACCCTCCTTCAGTGTGCCCTGGATCACCAGCTTCACACATCATGGTTTGACAACATCTCAGGCAAGCTGTGCATTGACTTTTTATCAGACATGATGAACTTGGAGGGGGAGTAGGAGCATGGCCGTGATGGAACCCTCTAGTGAGGGTGTGGCAGGAGCACATCAGAAATGGGACACATTGCTGCCACCAAATAACAGACTGACAATGTGGAAACAGAGGGGGAAATGTTCCTCAAATCTCAAAACAGCAGTACTTTCCCTGACACTGGAGGTCAAATTGAAGATGAAGACAGTTGTCCATGAAGGCTCTAGAGACAGATCATAAGCCATCTTTGTTAAAGGAGAAAGGAGAGAATGAAACTCTCAGTTGTGTGGATTTACACCTTGTTATTTGATCACTTTTAAATGTATGTCCTCGTAGGTTGACTTTGCTTTTTATCCAATTTTATATTAGACTAATCAACTAATAATTGGCTTTTTATTTGAGTTACAATTGTTTTGTCTTCTTTGGTGATTTTGTGTTTTTCCCTTTTTTTGACTTTCAATGCTTAGTTTTCTTGTTGAACAGACATAGAGCCCTATCCCTAAGGTGATATGTATTTCCCATAAAAACACTGTAAGCAAGTACAAGTGCACCCTTTTACCCTTTCTTAGCTCTTGTAAACTGATGGGTATACAAACTCATATGTGAATATATTGTTTGCTGGAATATATTTTCTGAGTTACTTAGCAGTAATTGGCTGGTGAATATATGTTGCAAACATTACTTAACATCATATAAAGCTGAAAAGTCAGTAAAATGTCTTCATACTCACTCCGTGTCTCATTGCTGAGAGAACAAGTTGCCCTCTCCTCTCTTTCCATCCCTTCTCACTGTCTCCTTGTAGTGCTGGACAGTGCTTGGTCTATGGATTTGCATAGAGAAATTCTTTCAGATTGCCATTATCCCACATGCCCCTAACTTGCTCAAAGATGGGATGGAGATGCAAAGTCCATTTATAATGCATTACTGTGGTCAAAGCCAGTGTGGACCATCCAGACCTACTCTGTCATGGCATGTCCTGATATAAAATGCAATACAATGAAAACAGAAAGAAGCAGGGGCCTGCACCAGCCAGGGATCATCTGAGCCACCTGATTGCCCACTAGGGTTGTGGAGGTGACTGCTCTGGCTCTAACACCTGGACCATGTGAATTAGATCAGAGCTGGCAAAAGAGTTTCCTAAGATACTGTAAATGGCCATATTTGTGGTTATTCTCTAGGGTGGACATTTGCTGCATACACCTGATAGACACTGGAAATCCAGCCAGCGTAACTAGTTTTAATTTAGCTTCAAATAGTCAGCTACAAATGTTATTTTATTATCCAAAATATTGCTTCCAAAAATTATGTAAATGCAATTTCAGAGGAAAACAAAACAAAACAAAACAGAAAAAAAGAAGCCAAAGAGCATAGCTGGGCTATGAGCTGAGACACTCAATGGATAATTTTTCACATCTTGGCATTAGGTGGGATACTCATCACTAAAAGAGGCCTGAGTGTTCTTTGTTCTGTAAAAACAGACCAGGTTTTTCTCTGTGCTTCTCTGCCTCTTGGTGGTGAGGAGGAGGTAGCAGGATCAGGGACCTAGGAGGAAGGGCAGCTGTAGGTTGTGGCACTAAGGCTACTGCCTGGGTGACCTCATGGAGCAGGGCCACTCACTGCAGGGCCACCTCCTCCCTCTGGACTGCTAGGTCAGACACACATGTTCATTCTACTGTACTCCGTGGTTCTTAGTAACAGGCCATGTGGCCCTATTCTGCGTCTCCCTAGAATCTCCATTCAGTTTTCTGGAACAACTCATTTTTTTATCATGTTGTTTAGAGAGGGCACCAGGACAGCCACACTGTTTCTGTCCATGTGTCCGCCCACCTGGGTTGCCCTTGTCTCCTGTCCTATCACAGTAGCAGCCCCAGGTCACTGGACCTTGTCAGTCTCATGAGGGCTGATGGGGACTCTGTAGGGCTGAGCCCACTCTCTCCCTTCTCTGTGTCATCCCCACATTCTCTAACAGAATTGAGGCTCAGTGATGGATTTATTAGAGACAAAGTTACTTACTTTCTCCTGTTTTATTATTTGTGAACTCCAGTTTCCAACCTTTTCATACAGATTTCCTCAAACCATTTTTAAAGCTAATGGATAGAACCCACTGGTATTTTAATTGGAATTGCCAAGATCCATCTCTTAAAAGGAAATGATCTCAAATACACCCACAAGATGGGGAGCTCCATCCCTCATAAAGGAAGGGCACCTACATCCCCTTAGAGGAGGGGCACCCCTGAGAGGGCGGTGCCATCTCTAAAGGAAGTGAATCCCATCCCCTAGAGGAGGGGATTCCCTGGGGTCCTGTAAGCATCTTGTATTTGACTTTTCATCCCATTCTTTAAGTTTGGAAAATTTTCTGATATTATATCATTGAAAAGATCATGCATTCCTTTGGTTTGTATCTCTTCTTCTTCATCTATTTCAATAACTCTTAAATTTGATCTTTTCACGTTATCCATAATTCGTGGATATTCTGTTCACTGGTTTCTTACCATCTTCTCTGCACTCTACTTTGAAGATTATATATTTTCTCTTCATTGTCTGAGGTTCTGTCTTTCAAGTTGTCTAGTCTGGGATGCTTTCTATTGAATTTATAATTTTGTCTACTGATTCCTTCATTT